CTGGGGCCCCGCCCTCGACGGCTCCGGCTGGCTCATCGCTTGCACTTTAGGTCTCGACCAGGTACACGCGGGCCTTGGGTCTTCGCGGGCGCAGCGTCCCAGGCTGAGCTGGAGCGGACCCCAACAAAAATTGGCCTTAAGAAAGCGGCTCAAGCCCCGCTGCCGGGGGCGAACAGCTCAGGACCCCCCCTCTCTCAATTCCGTCCCCCACCTTTGCTGCCCCCAGCCCTCACGTCGCCCTCACACACCCCGAGTCCACTGGAGACCCAGCGGCGTCCCCCGTCTGTCTCTCCGCCTCGCCGTGGACCCCGGGGAGGAGTAGCGGGCCCGGAGAAGTGCAGCTTGTATTGAACATTCCGGTTTAGCCCAGGATTGGCTCTGAGTTACCTTGTGCTTATTTGTAACTTGACTGGGGAGCTGCCCGCACACCTCTTGCCTCCAAACGCCTAAATGACCCCGGAAACCAAGGACTGGAAGCGTGTCTCTTTCAAGGTCAGCTTCAAGACCACCCCCAGATGTGCAGACATGTTCAGATTTAGTGGTGATAGGGTCCTTAGCGAGAGAGCCGGACGTTCTGCGAAAGGATTAGAAAGGCTTATTAGCAAACCTGGCCAATTTTCTTGGACAGAACAAACTCTTTCTCCAGACCTCCTAGCAGAGCATGTTAAGATGTGACCTTTCCTACAGCAAGATTTCCCTCCAGGTCCGCTCTCAGCGTCTGCTGCCCTGAGCCAGGCCCTGGTGTGTAAGGTCAGTACAAATGCCCATGTGTCACTTGACCACTCTGCTCTCTTTTGATAGCAGGCTCTTATTATTGTTTGCACCCGCTCCCCAACGAGTCAATTTTGCTTGTTTGTTTGAGTTTTGTGTTTGGTTTTTTTAAGTCTATATGAGTGCTAACTTACAGGAAAATGCTACTTTTATTTGTTAGTTCATCTTGAACCCTTTTCAAATGTTCAAAGGTTTTTTGTTTTTAGTATTTAAGATTATTTTAAACATTTGGAATAGGTTGTCAGTAGACGTGGGGACCTGGCATCACCCATATGGCCCTGGAAGATTACAGTATGTGGCTTTCTAGAGATGGGCCTAACTGGCTTCGTGAAACTGAATCTGAGTGATTACTCAGATTGAAACTGCCCTCTATAACACCACACTGCTTGCATGAGAGCCAAGGAACTTGGTGGAAATCATTAGGGGATAGACAAGTTTCAGGACTTAAGTATCCAAAGTCCTTTTGTCCAAACAGCATACTAAGTGCCTCCTGTTCAAGGAGTCAATAAATATTTATTGTGTGCTTACTGTTTTACTGATTTACATGCTTGGAATACCAATGGTGAGTAAGACAAACATAGTCTCTTTCCTCCTTCTGGGAGATGGCTTCATGGACCAGGCACCAGCTTCATTTACGGCACCTCACCTGAGAAATGAGTAAAGGAGGTGGAAAGCGTCCAAGATGCTGCCCTACTCTGCTAAAACAAGAGCTTTCTCTGGTTACCAATTCTCAAGTTGCTACAGCACTTTGGCGAAAGCAAAATTTAAAGCTGAGTCTGCATTCATTCGAGAAAGTTTTCACAAATATCCCTCTTTCCCCCAAACATTGTTTTGCAATTGCTTTTGTTCCTGTAGTCAAGTCAGTAACAATCTCTTGAGAGGAGACAGCTGTGATCCACATACCGCACCATTCTCCTTGAGCACACTCCACTAGGAAATATTGTATTCACCTGGAAATAGCATTCCAGAGAGACCCTGATTAAGGCTACAGTTACCAGTATCCAGGAAAAGTAACAGTGTGTTCCTCATATAGCGCACAAAGAAACAAGTTAGATGAAGTGTATCAAAATACAATTAGAATCAGACTCCTTGGTTTGATTTTACAGGAAACATAATCACTTCAAAGTTGAGGATGCTGCCGCATAAGTAAGAACTACACTGATGTAAAGGTAAGTCCATAACAATTCCTTCTGTTGTTGCCTCCTGTCTGGCACTTATTTTTATGAATTGCCTTATGGAACTGTGGTCTGAAATCTGTATGCCAATTTTAAGAAGAGGGGTGTAAGTAAGATTTATAGATTAAGTTATTTTAAAAGGCTGGAAATAAACCAGACGTAGGACTTAACTTTGAACCTAACAATATAAATACTACTACATCGCCACCCACTTATTGCATAACCAGTTAAAAGCCCATGCTGAGGATCTTGATGTTAGTAATTCAAAGCAGTGGGTAGGGCGGGTGTGTGTGTGTGGCGGTGGGGGGGGGGTATTCTTCTATTTCACACATATGCCCCAGACTAGGACTAAGCCACGCCATGCAGTTGATTTCAACTCCTAGAGATCCTACAGGACAGAGTAGAACTGTTCATAGGAGGTAAATTCAGCCTCATCCTTCTCCCTCAGAGCAGCCAGTAAATTTGAATCATCAACCTTTAAGGTAACAGTCTAGCACTCATGCCACTGTGCCACTAGGATTCCCTATAGCTCTCTATCACTCACTCACTGCCATTAAGTGATGTCGATTCAGAATGACCCTAAAGGACAGAGTAGAACTGTCTGTGAGTTTCTGAGACCATAACTCTTTACAGGTGTAGAAAGCCTCATCTTTCTCCTGAGGAGCATCTGGTGGTTTCTAATGGCTGACCTTGTGGTTAGCAGCCCACGCATCATCAGTGCACCACCAGGGCATAGAAGAATGTAATTCTGCTGTAATAGAACATTGTACGTTCTTATATACATTTATCGGGACTTCTTGACTTATGTTAAGGTGATTATAAACAATTATAATTGCATCCACAAGCAAACATACAGTACAGAACTTGTGTTCCAAAGAGGAAAAGCAGCCATGGTGATTGCCAGATCTCCAGGTGGCATTCAAGGTTAAATGCAAGTGTGCTGTGTTACAGCTATCTACTATAACAAGATGATCCCAGTGAGGAGGAGGGGAGCATTATGTTTGGCCAGCTGTGATTATTTTGAATGTCAATGCTTATAATAACTGAAGTTATGATTATTTAATATTTGTTAAATCCAAGACTAGTGCTAAATACCATATGTACATAAATGCAGACGAGTGCTATGCATTGTGCTGACAAATCTAAATTAGGCAAAGGAAGCAAAGGGCACATGAGGGCATGAGAAACATACAGAAGGCCTGTTTAGAAAAGAAAATGAAGCTTTTTGTTTGTTTTGCTATTTTTGTTTTAAGTATCAGAAGGTTCCTGATATTGAACAGGAAATTTGAAAGGAGAGGGTCAACGAGAAAGGCAAGCTGCTTTGGTGGAGAGTTGGCGCCTTAAACACGAGTGGTAGATCTGTCAAGTTAGAGCTCTGAAAGACACTGAGTGCAAGCTATTGGCCTGGACAGAGCAATATGAAAATGGGATGAGGTGTCATACAGAGACTAGGTAAAGATAGCACATGAGAAATGGCTCAGGAAAAAAATCAGAATATTGGGAGGGGGTGCGGGGAGGGAGGGGGGAAATGACCTAATGCCGGGGGCCTAAGTGGAGAGGAAATGTTTTGAGAATGACGAGGGCAATGAATGTACAAATGTGCTTTACACAATTGATGTATGTATGGATTGTGATGAGTTGTATGAGCCCTCAATAAAATGATTTTTTTTTAAAAGAGAGAGAATGGAAGAAATGATGACATGAAAGAGCTGAACACAAAGGGCAGCCCAAGAAGACAATGTAAGATATTTTAATGAAATGGGCAGCC